CAGCAATGACCAGTTTCTGCTGGGACTGTGCTAGTACATCCAGTGCCCTGATCAGTTGCTCATCTTCTTCCATGGTTGCTCCCGGACTTCTGTACACACCGGCTATGGTGGCGCTGTTGGTCCTAGAAAGATATGAGATAGCCCCCATTTATATATTGGGAGTGCAGACTTCTGCGTCTAATCTCCTGTGAGGAGTTTCTTTGCGAATGAGAAGCGCTACTCCTCCGCCTTGAAATTGTCCCCCTCGATCCTGTCTGTGGATTTTGAAGCTGTTTGCAATGTTCTGTGGTTTGTGGTCGCTTTCACTTAACCACGTTTCAGAGACAACATTCACTGCAACTTTGAGTTCCTCAGGAGTTACTCCTAGCTCTGCCCACTTATTCCGGATGCCGCACGCATTAGCGNGCGCATGGCATAACTAACTTTTCCGGAATTGGGCATTCTAAGCCCCCAACTCTTGCTTTTGTCTCGGGCACAGCACCTGAGCTGTGACCCCGTTTTTTGATGGGTCAGTGTTGGTCGTTGTCCTGCGACGTCTAAGTTCGGAGTCCGTTTGCTCTACCATGGACGCCGGCCGCAACGGAGTGGACGTTTGATCAATTTTCTCTTCATCTGCACTTACCGACCTGCTTGGCAAGCGGTCTTTCATTCCTCCTCTTCAATTATATCTTCTATGATCACTACCCCGTTTCTGAAGGGGATGCTTGTCGATGGCTGCGTTCTATGGTTACTAACCCTTCCCTTGGACCACGTAAACTCTGCTTTCTTATATGGTCTTGGGATGTCCGGAACTATTTCGTAGCGCCCTTTTGTGCACTGACTTACAAGGGATGCTTTTGCCAGGAGCATGTCCCTTTGACCCGTCTCTCCGAACTCCACAAGTATCGGTCGGGCAGCGGACCTTACGTTCGGGTTTGGCTGCTTTCAACCCCCTACTCTATATATTCTTTTTATGTAACATTTTGGGTCTAAGCCCACCGGTCTAAGGATATTAGGATTATTGGTTCCTCTTTATTAAGGATCTTTAGCGTGTTGCATCGAGACGTTCTATTGACCCTAACAGCCTTGATCAAAGCTACTTCAGCACGCAACATGTGCAGTTCACTCTCGATGTGGTGCAGGCTGTTATCCAGAATACCCTGGCATCCCTTGGCGATGCGCGGATTTACTGTCTTCGGCTTAGATTTGACAGTCTTAGACTTTGGTTGCAATTTCCGTGCTCCTGGAGTAGGTTTGCCAGGTGATTTTTTCACCACCGCGGCATACCTTTCGGCTGCCACCTCTGCAGTCGTTTCCTTCGTACTTTCCCCTCGTTTTGTCTTCGTCAGTCTTACTAACTTTCCGGGGACAGCACTTTGGGCTATATGCTGACAAGCGATTGTTTTGCAACCGCTGAATACGCATTCAAGTCCATTGTGTTTACTGTACAACGCATAGATCTCGGTAGAGACCCCTGTACACTTTTGGTGAGCCCATTTTTCACATGCGTCGCACATTATGCCAATTACCACCTTTTTCTCGCACATTTCATTCAGACACGGGAAGTTAACACGTGGCGTATTTTGAACAAAGATTGCGCAATGCAGGTGAAACTGATAAATATAGGACACCAACTTTACTGTATAACACTAAAACGTGAAAAGTGCGTCAGTAATTACTGAAAAACGGTTAACAGAGCTGGTTTGCAAAACCCTTCCGAAAACGGTAAAACTGAAGCTAGATATTTTACTATCGAGCTTTCGTTAAAAAGTAATGTAGTAAAACTGACTGTATAGTTCGTTTTACCATGCTTTTTAACGCACTGCAGTGACAATTTACGGTGAGCAAACTACCACTGTATATATAATGCAGCCTTCTAAGAGGATACAGCAAATACGCTTTACGACTGGTTAGACAGATTTCCTGTCAGTAAAAAGTGAAATATCGACAAATATTTCACTGATATATTACCCAAAACGTATTTCCAACCAGAACACTTCAAAATTTCAAACCGCGCGCTAACGCAACGCAAGGTCAGTCCTGATACTCCTGCAATATGACTACATAAACGGATGAACACCTTTATATATATATATATCTATATGTATAAACAAAGGTCTATAGTGATGTTGCAAGAGCAATACAATAAACGCGAAGCTTATAATAAATATGAATGCAAATAACCTTTTTCGCAGGATAACTGATGGATTTCTTGATACAGTGACGAGTGCCGTACCTGTGCATACCACCAAAACAACTCTGGACGCTCGAATTGCCGTAGCCATTTCGTGTACTGTGCAAACTGAACTAATTTGAACTAAACTGAACTAATGTGATGTCGTTCGCGTACAAAAAGCAGGGATTCTCCAGTCCTGATGTCATGTCGATGAAATACACTAGAAAGAAAAGGGAAGATAGGATACATACTTTTGGGACCCTGCTCGTAGGAGAACTCACCTCTGACGAACGTCTCCGCATCCGCATCCTGTAGTTCCGCCCGGACAAGAACACCTCGACCCAGTTACAGACTTTCGGATTCAGCTTAGTTTCCCTGAACTTGAAATTTAATAACCTGTGGTTAGCTGAGTGGAAGTGGAAGTCCACTTCGACTTCCGTTCCCTCATCTAATTTCTGTGTTACTACATCCAGAAAACATCAAAGGTTTGATAGACAAGACCTGCCTTTGATGAACCCGCGGTGGAGGTTGCAAGTGAAACCGCTTTGAACAAGGTGCGCACATATGTAGTCTCGCAGAATACGCTCCAGGAGCTTAGCAATGATGCTGAAGAGACTGATTGGACGATAGCTGGACGGATCCGATTGGTTACCCCTTTAAAGATTGGGAGAATTGTAGCATGTTTCCAATCCACCGGAACCCAGCCAGTGTTCAGAGAATCGTTGAATGTTGCGACTAGTTGGGGGAATACTAAGGATTCTATCGGTTTTAAGACGTCTGGATGAATGGTATCTGGCCCCGCGGAGTTGGAGGTCTTAAGAGTCGTAAAGACTCTTTCCACGGTATAGAGATAACTAGATGTGGCATGTCACTCACTTGGTTGAGAGTAGGATAGTTGCTCAAGTTATCCAAGCTAAAGGCCTCTTGGAATGAAGCGAGGAACGAGCCGGCAATTTCCTTATTGGTGGTCAAGAACTATCCTTTATTGTGAATGGCATTACCGATGACTTTTCCTGGAAAGGACCGGGTTCGATCATAGCCAAAGTATCTTTTGGGGATTTTTGAGGCCTCGTTGGTAATGGTTAGTTCATACGTGAATCTATCCTCCTGTGCTACTTTGATGGCTTTATTGCAGAGTCATTTAAAGCGAGCAAGGAGCATGGGGCTTCTCTGCCTGTTGAACGCCATTCACGCCTGATGTCTGCTTTTAAGCGCTCCGCAGACTCCGGGTCGGAACCAAGGTTTATGTCCTCTTATCCCCGTTGTTTTTATGGACACATAGACCTCCGTGAGAAGTACAATGTTGTCCCTCCTTCGGTTCCAGGTTACCTCTATGGGGATCAGATTGTCCCAGCACAGTCTGTCAGCTCCATGGACCAAGTCACCAATGTTATGGTTGTGGAATCTTTGGATTCCAGTTTTGGGCTTCGGGGTTTCTACTCGATGGAATTTGAAAAACACCGGCGAGTGGTCGCTTTTGCCTAAGTTAACTCCGATCCTCATTCCCTCGACTTCATTGACGCTTTTTGTTGAAACGAGATCGAGAGTGCAGGGTACTTGTCCAGGTCTGAACCTGATAGGCACCATCACAAGCTGCGTGAGGGTTAGATCGGATATGGCATTGAGCAGAAACATATAAAATCCGCACTAATAGCAAGTAACCTCCACCAAGTGAGCTAATACGGTCGGAGCGGTAATGCTGAAAGTTGAGGCTCCAGTTACCGAATTTAACTTCTTCGCGCAAGCAAATTTCCGTCAGGACGCACAGATCAACGGTGTGGAGTGTTTCAGTCACCTCGTCTTTCTTGTTTAGGATGCTGCAAACGTTTA